GTCTAGTCTGTAGTCTAGTCTATAGTCTAGTCTATAGTCTAGTCTATAGTCTAGTCTATAGTCTGGTCTATAGTCTACTCTATATTCTAGTCTATAGTTTAGTCTATAGACTAGTCTATAGTCCAGTCTATAGTCCAGTCTGTAGTCTGGTCTATAGTCTACTCTATAGTCTAGTGTATAGTCCAGTCTAAACATTTTTTCGATATTTTCGACTAAAAATCTATAGAAACTTTTGACCAGTTTTCTAAAGAATTTTGCCGATATTTTCGAGTTGATTTCTATAAAAATGTTATCATTATTTTTTACTAGATTTACACAGAACTCTTGTAGATCTATGTCTATATATTCCACTTGTCTATATATTCGATTCTTTTTTCTTCGTTTATATTTCTACAGAAGTTTTGTTTACCTAACATCACCCTAATAGTCATTCTTGCTTGCGCTAAACCCACAATTTCAAACTAAAGAAGACTACATGTTATTTCACAAAATAATCTCCATCCAACTTTATATTGAACATTCCACGATATCTAAACTTCAACCACAACCTCCGTAAAAGCCTTCCATCAGTTGAAAATAAAATGTTGTAGAAAAACCAAACGGAAAAGGCAGTTCACGATATAAACTGTTAATTAGCTTTTAATGCCACAACCAATTGAGGGCTGCAGCCATTGTATTCTGCAAAGTATTTGAAATATCGCTAAAGAAAGATACTGCCGGTGGTGGTATGTCTTTATAGACTATTATAAACTTTAAAGTGCAGAACATGTTAACTGATATTGTCTACATATTGTGTAGTAAATACATAGAAAACAGCAGTATTTAACTGTGGGTATGAAACGTATGAATGTGGAAGTCAGCAGTAATTCCTGGATAAAATGCTTTCAGCTCAATAAATACGTATAAAATATGTTTCTAGTATGGTATGTTGGAATAACTAATTGTATTTGTATTGCGGTAAAAGTTATTCATTCTTTAAATATAACACGCATATGTACCTAGTCATGAATAAAGGCGTTTTAAAAGTATGCGTAAATTTGCAACAGCTGTGGGCAAATTTTTAAATACACTGCAAAAAAATACTCTATAATCTACTATAGTATAGTCTAGTCCATAGTCTAGTCCATAGTCTAGTCTATAGTCTAGTCTATAGTCTAGTCTATAGTCTAGTCTATAGTCTACTCTATAGTCTAGTCTATAGTCTAGTCTATAGTCTAGTCTATAGTCTAGTCTATAGTCTAGTCTATAGTCTAGTCTATAGTCTAGTCTATAGTCTAGTCTATAGTCTAGTCTATAGTCTAGTCTATAGTCTAGTCTATAGTCTAGTCTATAGTCTAGTCTATAGTCTAGTCTATAGTCTAGTCTATAGTCTAGTCTATAGTCTAGTCTATAGTCTAGTCTATAGTCTAGTCTACAGTCTAGTCCATAGTCTAGTCTATAGTCCAGTCTATAGTCTAGTATAGTTTATAGTCTATAGTCTAGTCCATAGTCTAGTCTATAGTCTAGTCTATAGTCTAGTCTATAGTCTAGTCTATAGTCTAGTCTATAGTCTAGTCTATAGTCTAGTCTATAGTCTAGTCTATAGTCTAGTCTATATTCTAGTCTATAGTCTAGTCTATAGTCTAGTCTATAGTCTAGTCTAGTATAGTCTACTGTATAGTCTAGTCTATAGTCTAGTGTATAGTCTAGTCTATAGTCTAGTCTATAGTCTAGTCTATAGTCTAGTCTATAGTCTAGTCTATAGTCTAGTATAGTCTAGTATAGTCTAGTATAGTCTATTCTATAGTCTAGCGTATAGTCTATTCTATATTCTAGTCTATAGTCTAGTCTATAGTCTAGTCTATAGTCTAGTCTATAGTCTAGTCTATAGTCTAGTCTATAGTCTAGTCTATAGTCTAGTCTATAGTCTAGTCTATAGTCTAGTCTATAGTCTAGTCTATAGTCGAGTCTATAGTCTAGTCTATAGTCTAGTCTATAGTCTAGTCTATAGTCTAGTCTAGAGTCTAGTCTATAGTCTAGTCTATAGTCTAGTCTATAGTCTAGTCTATAGTCTAGTCTATAGTCTAAGTCTATAGTCTAGTCTATAGTCTAGTCTATAGTCTAGTCTATAGTCTAGTCTATAGTCTAGTATCTAGTCTAGTCTTATAGTCTAGTCTATAGTCTAGTCTATAGTCTAGTCTATAGTCTAGTCTATAGTCTAGTCTATAGTCTAGTCTATAGTCTAGTCTATAGTCTAGTCTATAGTCTAGTCTATAGTCTAGTCTATAGTCTAGTCTATAGTCTAGTCTATAGTCTAGTCTATAGTCTAGTCTATAGTCTAGTCTTAGTCTAGTCTATAGTCTAGTATAGTTTATAGTCTATAGTCTAGTCCATAGTCTAGTCTATAGTCTAGTCTATAGTCTAGTCTATAGTCTAGTCTATAGTCAGTCTATAGTCTAGTCTTATAGTCTAGTCTATAGTCTAGTCTATAGAGTCTAGTCTAGTCTAGTCCTAGTCTATAGTCTAGTCTATAGTCTAGTCTATAGTCTAGTCATAGTCTAGTCTATAGTCTAGTCTATAGTCTAGTCTATAGTCTAGTCTATAGTCTAGTCTATAGTCTAGTCTATAGTCTAGTCTATAGTCTAGTCTATAGTCTAGTCTATAGTCTAGTCTATAGTCTAGTCTATAGTCTAGTCTATAGTCTAGTCTATAGTCTAGTCTATAGTCTAGTCTATAGTCTAGTCTATAGTCTAGTCTATAGTCTAGTCTATAGTCTAGTCTATAGTCTAGTCTATAGTCTAGTCTAGTCTATAGTCTAGTCTATAGTCTAGTCTATAGTCTAGTCTATAGTATAGTCTATAGTCTAGTCTATAGTCTAGTCTATAGTCTAGTCTATAGTCTAGTCTATAGTCTAGTCTATAGTCTAGTCTATAGTCTAGTCTAGTCTAGTCTATAGTCTAGTTTATAGTCTAGTCTAGTCGATAGTCTAGTCTATAGTCTAGTCTATAGTCTAGTCTATAGTCTACACTATAGTCTAGTCTATAGTCTTGTCTATAGTCTGATCTATGGTCTAGTCTATATGGCAGTCTATAGTCTATTCTATGGTCTAGTCTGTAATCTAGTCTATTGTTTAGACTATACTCTAGCCTATGGTCTAGTTTTTAGTCTATGCCATGTTCTATAGTCTAGTCTATTGTCCCATCTTATGTATAGTTTAGTCTATAGTGTAGATTATCGTCTAGTCTATGGCCTGGTCTAAAAAAATCTGTAATCTAGTCTTTATTTTAGTAATTAATTTTGACTTTGATTAAGTCTATAATATTGAAAAAGAGCAGAATTGCCCATCGCTGATTTCCAGACAAATATTCAAACTATTGTTTTTGTTGTTTTATTTGAATTGTTAAGTTTACACTTGTGTATGTTTAAAAGTTTAGTTCAGTTTAACTTGAGTTTATTTATTTTACCTACACAAAGTTTATATTAACTTTTTCTTAGGAATAAATAGTTTTCTTTGTATTTTAATTTTTTTTTTTCGAAATGTAGATATGAAATTGTATAAAATAGGGAACAATAGATTTAGAATAACTTACTACATATTTGCATAATTGGTAATATGACAGGTTAATTGCTGGAAGACCTAAAAATGTAAAATGCAAAATAGGAGCTCTGTTTAATAAGTCGGACACATCTCTGTTAAGACACTTAATAGAGGTGTGTTATTGACTATTAACCGTTAATGTTGTAACATATAAATAATATAAGTTTCTTTGCATGTTTACCGATTGGTAAATAACGCACTAAAAACACCCTCTTCCTCATCCCTTATGAGGACGATTGTGTAACATTCGTTCCATTAAAATTTAAAACTTTTACTAGGGAAACAATTGATGTGTTGCAGGAAAATTAGAATAGTGAAAATAGAAAAATATTGCAAAAATAATTTTCCTGTTGTAAGACATTTTTGCAGTTGTTTCTCATTTGTTGTCATATTATTGTAGTCAGAGTTGTTGTGTAGTAGATTCTTACTAAGCAAATGCCTGAAAACATAATTGCAAAATAATAACAAGTAAGAAATTATAGTCGGGCGAGGCCGACCATATAATACCCCACACCTTTGACAAAAATATAATGTGATTTAGTTGCCATAATAAAGCATTGAAGTTGAATTGTACCTTGCCTTAGATATACACACTTAAGCCGTTTATTGTTGAATAAAATTGTGGACATTTAAGTGAAATTTTGATGGGGGCTTTTCATAGGGGCTATGGTCATATGAGGACCTATTATTATGGAATTCGTGAGGGTCATCAAATCTTGTATAGAACTTGGTTTTTGCAGCTTTTTTCGAGATATGAGTATATTAAACATAATTATGAACTTAAAAGCCCTATTCGGCAGGTTCAGTTGTATGGGGGCTAGGTGAAATAATGGACCGATAGTAACCATTTTCAATAGGCTTCGTCTACGGTACCATAAAAGATCATGTGCCAAATTTCATTGAATTATCTCCAAAATTGCGACCTGTAGTTTGATTACAAGTTTTAAAAGCCCTATTCGGGGGTTCAGTTGTATGGGGGCTAGGTGAAATAATGGACCGATGTTAACCATTTTCAATAGACTTCGTCCCTGGGGCAATAGAAGATCATGTACCAAATTTCATTGAATTATCTTCAAAATTGCGACCTGTAGTTTGATTACAAGGTTTACATGGACGGACGGACAGACAGACAGACAGACAGACAGACAGACAGACGGACGGACGGACAGACAGACAGACAGACAGACAGACAGACAGACAGACAGACAGACAGACAGACAGACAGACAGACATACAGACGGACAGACGGACGGACATAGCTAAATCGACTCGAAAATGATTCTGAGCAGATTGGTATACTTTAAGGTGGGTATAGGACCAATATTATTGTGCGTTACAAACATCAGCACAAACCCAATATACCCTCCCCACTAAAGTGGTGTAGGGTATATATAATAAACTGTACTTGTTTTTATATAATTTCATAAAAAAGTAATTTATTAGTGGAATAAAAAAATGTATTAATTACAAAAACTATGAGTATATTTTAACAAAAATTTTACAAAATAATATTTATATACAACATACATACTTATACACATACACGTTTTTTCGTTAATATGTCTTTTGTAAAGAAATTACCTCTATCGAAAATTATATTACTAAGTTAGTTTTTCTAAACTATTAATTTAATGATGATTATTTTTTTTAACTTAAAAATATATCAGATCATAATGTTCTTAATAACTTTTAGCATACGCTGAGGAAGAAGCTGAAGCACTGGCAAAAGCACCAGCTTTACCGTAACCACCACCGACACCACCACTACATTTGGCGCAACTACCATCATGGCCGCCACTGGCTGCACCGGGAGAGCCTGCACCAATACCGCCAGGTCCGCCAAATCCAAAGGAGCCACTGCCAGCTCCAGCAAAACTAGATGCACCAGCACCGCTGAAGGCACCAGCTCCACCGAGACCCGGTATAAAACTAAGAAAATCTTTACCACCACCGCCACCTAAACCGCCCAATCCACCGAAACCACCATGACCTCCGGGACCACCAAAACCACCTCCGTCTCCACCGCCTAATCCACTACCTCCTCCAGCACCACCTCCTGCACCAGAACCGCCATAACCTCCTGAACCGCCATGGCCTCCCGGACTGCCTGCACCTACTGAACCACCATAACCACCTGGACCCCCAGCACCACCATAACCTTTACCGACACCACTGCCTGCACCTGCACCACCACCACCTCCGGCACCAGCGCCTCCACCTGCAGAACCACCGTATCCACCTAAACCACCATGGCCACCAGATCCTCCAGAGCCACCGCCAGTTCCTAAACCACCACCGGAACCAGCTCCACTACCGCCATAACCTCCAGCTCCACCAGGACCACCATATCCACCCGATCCTCCAGAGCCACCGCCAGTTCCTGAACCACCGCCGGAAGCAGCTCCACTACCGCCATAACCTCCAGCACCACCAGGACCACCTGATCCTCCTGGTCCACCATATCCACCTCCTACACCACCACCAGCACCTGCACCACCACCAGCTCCTGCACACCACCGCCGGCACCGGAACCGCCTCCTCCATATCCACCAGTATCACCATGACTACCCAGAACCACCAGATCCGCCGTATCCACCTACTCCACCATGACTTCCTGGGCTACCGGAACCTCCATAGCCCCCAGGGCTGCCAGGACTTCCGGGTCCTCCTCCATAACCTCCAGCACCTGCTCCACCCCTTGCACCACCTCCTCCTCCACTACCGCCACCACCACCTGAACCTCCATAACCACCAGGGCTGCCAGGACTTCCAGGTGCTCCCGGATAACCTCCTGCACTTCCTTTACCACCATAAGAACCAGAACCTCCACCACCACCGGCACCACCTCCACCTCCTCCTCCACCACCGCCGCCAGCACCAGAACCTCCATATCCACCTGGGCTGCCAGGACCACCTGGCCCTCCGCCATAACCTCCACTACCTCCAACGCCGCCAAAACCGCCAGCACCAGCACCTCCTCCACCACCACCTCCAGCACCAGCACCGCCACCACCACCTGCTCCATAGCCACCAGGACCAACAGGACCTCCATGACCTTTACCCGGTGATGGTGCCGGTGGGGGTACATAAGTCAAGTCAGGCTGTGGAACTGGGTTATTGAGACCATTGTTATCAGCAGGATGCCAGTCATCAGCACCACCGCCAGGATTAACCGCAGGTTGCCAAGGTGCTGAACCACCACCTCCACCTGGTTTCTTGCCAGGACCACCAATAAAACCACCACCGCCTGGCTTGCGGCCGCCTAAAAATGGATTACCAGGTTTACCAGAACCACCGCCGCCTCCGCCAAAACCACCTCCTCCTCCACCGCCACCACCATATCCTCCTCCACCTCCTCCGCCGCCACCCAAAAATAGGCCACCACCTCCAGCACTTGCCGCAGCACCATGCAACTTGCCAACACCATCCAAAATACCACCTAAAACACCACTTATGCCATGTTTAAGATTATTTAAATTGACTTCCTTGCGTATGGAGACCACAGCTCCATCATGGCCACCACCACCACCAGGCAAAAATGGATTGCCACCACCTCCCCCACCGCCAGCACCACCACTCCAACCACCAGCACCACTTGAAGCAAAACTTGAAGCACTGGCCGAAGCTGAACTGCCAGCTAAACCTCCACCTCCGCCATAGCCACCATAACCACCAGCCATTGCTGAAATTTTAATTAAAATCCATTACACCACTGACGCCACTATTTAACAAGAATTTCCTTGTGCATCAATCACACGCCGTATACATGAACACTTACCACCTCTCAACTGATTGCTGCTAATCACTAGTAAAATTGTGGCTGCTTTTAGAAAATTCCTTCGATTCCTCCCCCAGTTAATGGCGGACATTCTGCTGTTAAACATTCTATTACTACAACTACTTCTCGTTCGTGTCATGTTAAAAATACAATTGATTTTAGCAAACCATTTACAATTTGCATTTATACTAGTCGTTAGAAGTTGAGTTTTAATTTGCAACTTTTTTTTCCAATATTTTAGTTTTTTTGTTTTTTTTTTTTTTGTCTTTGGGTCACTCATCAAGAATTCTAATATTTAATGAAGTATTGAAAATGTAGCCATCCCTTTTTGTTGCATTGCATGCGGGGGCACTTAGTTCAGTGTCGTTTCATAAAATTTCTGTTGAGTTTTTTCTACATTGTGCTAATTTCAGTTACAACACCTTTGTTGTTGCTATTTTTTTCCTAATACTACAAAATTTACTTTTTTTTTTTTTGCATAGAAAGATGGGAAAATACGTTATTTTAAATAACAAGCATTTTTTTCTAGTTGGTTTTGTACACGATTCTCATTGTTAGGAGATGCATCTACAAAAAAAAATTGTAATCAGCTAAAACAAAAAATCATACAGAACTAATGAACAAAATTGCACTTGTAGTATTAAATTACTAAATAATACTTAGTAATAATTAATAAAATCACAACGACACTGAGAATAATATGAAAAAAAAAACTAAATTAATGAACAGTTCGATGTCTGTCTCTATAATCATTAATATTCTTGTTGAGTTTTTCACACATTTAGATTTGTAAGTGCAATGAACGTGAGTGTTACAATTAGTGTCACATGTGACATGTATTGTCACTAGTTATTATTTAAAGTTAGTGAAGTTAGCTAGTAATTGACAGTAGTCGGAAGTAAAATAAGCTATGGTAGGGACTATAGAGAAGTTTATAGTCTGGGCTATAGAAAAGACTATAGTATGGTCTATAAAATAGACTAAGGTCAGGACTATAGAATTTACTATAGTCTGGACAACAGGCCATAGTTCGGGCTATGGAATATACTACAGGCTGGAAAATAGAGCAGGGTTTAGTCTGGACTATAAAGAACACTATAGTCTGGACTATAGAGTTGGTTAGAGCCTGTAATATAGAATAGACTATAGTCTGGACTATAGAATAGACTATAGTCTGGACTATAGAATAGACCATAGTCTAGACTACAGAATAGACTATAGTCTGGACTATAGAATAGACTATAGTCTGGACTATAGAATAGACTATAGTCTGGACTATAGAGTAGACTATAGTCTGGACTATAGAATAGACTATAGTCTGGACTCTAGAATAGACTATAGTCTGGACTCTAGAATAGACTATAGTCTGGACTATAGAATAGACTATAGTCTGGACTATAGAATAGACTATAGTCTGGACTATAGAATAGACTATACTCTGGACTATAGAATAGACTATAGTCTGGACTATAGAATAGACTATAGTCTGGACTATAGAATAGACTATAGTCTGGACTATAGAATAGACTATAGTCTGGACTATAGAATAGACTATAGTCTGGACTATAGAATAGACTATAGTCTGGACTATAGAATAGACTATAGTCTGGACTATAGAATAGACTATAGTCTGGACTATAGAATAGACTATAGTCTGGACTATAGAATAGACTATAGTCTGGACTATAGAATAGACTATAGTCCTGGACTATAGAATAGACTATAGTCTGGACTATAGAATAGACTATAGTCTGGACTATAGAATAGACTATAGTCTGGACTATAGAATAGACTATAGTTTAGACTATAGAATAGACCATAGTCTGGACTATAGAATAGACTATAGTCTGGACTATATAATAGACTATAATCTGGAGTATAGAATATACTATATTCTGGTCTATAGAATATACTATAGTCTGGACTATAGAATAGAATATAATCTGGACTATAGAATAGACTATAGTGTGGACAATAGAATAGATTATAATCTGGACTATGGAATAGACTATTGTCTGGATTATAGAATATACTATAGTCTGGACTATAGAATTTACTTTAGTCTGTAATATAGAATAAACTATAGTCTGAACTATAGGATAGCCTATAGTCTCTACTATAGAATTAACTATGGAATAGCCTATAGTCTAGACTATATAACAGACTATAGTCTGGAATACAAAATAGATTATAGTCTGGGATATAGAATAGACTATAGTATGGAATATAGAATAGACTATAGTCTGGAATATAGAATGGACTATAGTCTTGACCATAGAGTAGACTATAGTCTGAACTATAGAATAGACCATGGGCTATAGAATAGACTATAGTCTCAGCTATAGATTAGACTATAGTTTAGACTATAAAATAGTCTGGACTACAATATAGATTTTTTTCCGGTCTATGTTATAGTCTCGACTGGTGCGAATCTCTGCTTATTGTGGTACAGCATATTTTGGACATTACTGTAAATAATTTATTTATCAAATTCTAATTTCATTAGCCATCAGTCATTTGTCGTAAAATGAACATTTATTTATAATTTTTATAAAACTTGTTTCGAATATTGATTTAATTTTTTTATCTCAGTGCATAAATTATTCTTAGTTGAATTGAGCTATAGGTTTATTATTTCTATTATTTAACCTTTATTATATTTAATGATTTCGATTTCGTTTAATAATATCTGATTCTCTTCTAATTCCTACAATAATTCTAATTATATTCTAATTAATATTCGTAACAAAAATGTTACGTACATGTTTATTTTGTAAACAATTGAAAAAAACATTGTTTTCTAATTTGCAATAGATAAAATTCAAATCTGATCATAATTTTTTTTTTTTTGTGTTAAGCGAATTTGTTTAAATATTGCATCACAGTTGTAGTTGCTGTTGAATGCAGGGGTGTTTGAGATATGAATGAATCAGAATATTTAGGGGATATTTAAATTGGTGTGTTGGAAAATTCTAATTTATATATAGGAAAATTTGTTTTTCATTAATTTAAACAACTTAATTTGAAACAAATAAATCCGGGTTGTTATAGAGAAATAAGTGGAAATTTTTTCCAGATAGAAGAGATGATATGAAAATATATTCCGGATCTATCGATGAGAGTAGATGTCACTGTGGGTCCAAATTTATTTGATACTTTAAGCTCTACTAAGAGATCCTGCATTAATAATGTTCAAAAACCAACATTCAACAACTCAGTTTTAAAATTTCTGTGAAAAACGCATCATTGCGGTTTGGTTTTTATCTTTCTCATAATTATTTTTTAATAATATTCAGATTGTCATGTAAATAATTTATTTTAATCAATATTTTTTTTTGGGTTTTTCTAAAACAATAGCAATAAACTTGTTTGATGACGAAAAGGATTCAGTCAAGTATTTTTATTTTATTAATATCTTTATGTCTTTATTTGAAATAATAAAAACAAATAACAACTTACTTTAATTGATTTTTATAATTAATTAAATATTATATTGCTTTTACGTGCAGAACATACATGTTTTGCCTTTTAATAAAAACTGATAAAATGTGGATGAATAAAAAATATTATTAAATGATAAAATAATCATCTTCATTGCAATGCATTAAAAGGCATTTAAGCTGTCATTTATCAAATGTTTGCTCGTAAATGTTAATGAATACAATGTCTAAATACTCAATTGAAATCTTTATAACTGACAGTATTTAGGAATCTGTTGATAATAACTATTATTAAAATTTTTAATGACCACATTTTGGGGATGTGTAATAGAGTATTGTGGTGAATTATCTGAAACGGGAACAACAATTGCTCACTAATTTTGACAGAAAAATATCATCGAGCTAATTTTCTGTTGGAACCAAAAGGGGTGCAGGGTCCATTAGGGGTAATTTGTAATGAATGCAACTGATTCATTTAAAGCAAGTTAAAATTCGCAGCATAAACGGCCAGATAGTTCTCCATCAAAAAAGCCACATGTGTTTAATTCAGTTCAGACCTCGTCCGAATACTTTATGTTTCAATTGATAAAAACACTATCACTCACACTCTCTCTCTTTAGATACGATTCACAAATAAAAAAGTACGGCGTCTAAAGATCAACCATAGGACAGATTATAGTCCCGAATATATAGAATATAATCTATACAATATAATTGACTCGACTATAAAACAAAATAGAGGGAACCTATGAATTGGATATACGCTCGACTATAGAATAGTCTGGATTATAAAATATTCTATAGACTGAAATATAGAAAATCCTATAGTCTACATTCCCAAATAATCAATACTTTGGGCTATAAAACAGTCAATAGTCTGACCTATAAAATAAGGTGGACTATAGAATAGTCAATAGTTTGAACTATATAATTGTTTGTAGTCTGGACTATATAATTGGTTATTGTCTGGACTATAAAATTGTCTATAGTCTGGACTATAAAATAGTATTTAGTTGGAATATAGAATATTCTATAGTCCGGACTATAGAATAGTTTATCGTCTAGACTATAGAAGAGTCTATAGTCTGGACAAAAGAATACTCTATAGTCTGGACTACAGACTATTCTATAGTCTGGACTACCCACTATTCTATAGTGTGGACTAAAGAATATTCTATAGTCTGGACTATAGAATAGTCTATAGTCTGGACTATAGAATAGCCTATAGTCCGGAATATAGAAAAGTCTATAGTGTGGACTATAGAAAAGCCTATATTCTGGACTATAGAATAGTCTACAATCTGGATTTTAGAATAGTCTATTATCTGGACTAAGGAATAGTCTATAGTCTGGACTATAGAATAGTCTATAATGTGGACTATAGAATATTCTATAGTCTGGACTATAGATACAATACTCGATATTCTGGACTATAGAATAGTCTATAGTCTGGACTATAGAATAGTCTATAGTCTGGACGATAGAATAGACTATAGTCTGGAATATAGAATAGTCTATAGTCTGGACTATAGAATAGTCTATAGTCTGGACTATAGAATAGTCTTTAGTCTGGACTATAGAATAGTCTATAGTCTGGACTATAGAATAGTCTATAGTCTAGACTATAGAATAGTCTATAGTCTAGACTATAGAATAGTCTATAGTCTGGACTATAGAATAGGCTATAGTCTGGACTATAGAATAGGCTATAGTCTGGACTATAGAATAG